AATGTAACAAGTCCATCCACGGGCCAGTGTTGACGGAGCATGACCACGCGAGAGCAAACGGCGGACAAGCATGGTTGCTGCCGTTTTGAAATCACGCCAATTGTCACAGATCTGCTCAAACCGCGTAAGCTGGCCATATATATATATATATATATATATCGTCAAATAGAACTGCCCGGTAAATAAATATATATATATATATATATATATATTGTCACGAGAATATCAGACCGCAAAATTTCTTATCTTCTTCCTTATAACTCCCCCTGTTCAGAACCTCTTGCGTACAAGGCCGCCCACGTGGATGTAGGTTGAGCAGCAGCTGCCCCCAGCCCCGTGTGTCATATCGACTCACTTGCACACAGCCAAAGGGCAAAGAGGCAAAGAAAAGAGAGAGGGAACAGCCAAATAATACAGAACAGGGGGCAACAAAACAGATCCCAGATGACAAGTCCCACATGCAAGCACCGCCCCTGCCCACAGGCCAAACGACGGGACAAGACCAACCAGGATGTCAAACAATCTTGTCTGCAAAAAAAATCAAAAAGAACCCGGAGGACCGGTATTATATATGTACATGGCAGATTTTGTTCTGGTTATCGTTTTAGTATCCCGGATGGTTTTGTCCTGTTGTTCGGTCTATTGGCGTGGCAGTGTAGCGGTGCTTTCATGTGGGACTATTAATCTGGGTTCTGGTTTGTTATGGATATGGTAGATTTTGTGGATCGGAGTTTTTTTTTTGGTAACCTTGTCTGCATCCCGGTTGGCTCTGTCCCGTTGTTCGGTCTATTTTGGGAGAATGGTAGTGGTGCTTCATGTGGGATCAGTCATCCCGGTTCTTCTTTTTTTATCGTCTTGGGGCATCCTGGTTGGCTGTTTCCCGTTGTTCGGCCTACGCGGGGGGCGGTGCTTTTACGAGGGAATCATCATCTGGGATTGTCTTTCTTTCCTTTCTTTTTTTTTTGCAGATAAGGTGTTCTTTGCTTCAGATTCTTTGTTATGGATATGGTAGAATTTGTTTTCTGGTATTCATTTATGTTGAAAATGGCCTGGCTCATCGTTCAACCATCTCACAGTTCCCGTGTCTTGAATCCTGGCTTGTTTGTCCCGTCGTTTGGCCTGTGCTGTCGGGGGCGGTGGCTGCATGTGGGACTTGTCATCTAGGATTCGTTTGCCCCCTGTTCTGTAATGTTTGGCTGTTCCCTTCCTCTTTTCTTTGCCTCTTCGCCTTTTGGCTGTGTGCAAGTGGGTCGATATGACACACGGGGGTGGGGCAGCCACGGCTCAACCTACATCCACGTGGGCAGCCTTGTGGGAGAGAGAGACAGAGGCTCAGAGAGGGCGGAGGAGATAGAGAAACGCCAAACAGAGAGAGAGAGAGAGAGAGAGAGAGAGAGAGAGAGAGAGAGAGAGAGAGAGAGAGAGAGAGAGAGAGAGAGAGAGAGAGGGGGGGAGGGGGAAAGGGGGCGGGTTAAAAGAAGGTCGGGGTCAAAGGGTTAACGTTGCGAGATCGTGTCACGTGGGAGAGAGAGAGAGGCAGAGAGTCTTATGTGAGAGAGAGGGCGCAGGGAAGGGAGATAGATATACGCCAAACACACACACACAGAGAGAGAGAGAGAGAGAGAGAGAGAGAGAGAGAGAGAGAGAGAGAGAGAGAGAGAGAGAGAGAGAGAGAGAGAGATTGCATTGGGCAGTTGACTACGACATGAATGCATCACCCATCAGATCTGTTTTTGCGAGCCCCGGCCAGGCAAGTGGTCCCGGCCCACTCTAGTGTACAAAAAATAGAAGCACTCACACTCACCTGTGTGGAAGAATGTCTCTGATCTGATTGACATCCAGAACCGTTGGGTAGGCAGGATACGCTGTACATCACAGCCAGCAACCACAGAGTTCACAATTAGTAACGAACATTCAAAAAGGACGCCGGCCTTGTTCAATGTCTAGATGTCCAAACACCTGAGCCTGGTTCAATGTCTAGATGTCCCCAACGTCATGAAACGCAATTTTCTTTCCCTTCTCATGTCGATTTTTTTCTTTCTTTTTCCTTCCTTTTTTCATCCTTCTTTTTCTTTGGAAAAAAGGACGCCGGCCTTGAGATATCACATTGAGCTGACCGGCCTGACCGGCATCAGAACTAGATTACTCCGTTCATCTGATCGCATCTGGATTCGAACTACAGGCCCCCGAATACAACGTACAGTCATCATAGCTGAATTTAGACTGAAAGATGCACCAAATTCCCACGTGGATTCTGGTACAATAAGATATATATAATTATAATAATAATTATAATAATAATTATTATAATAATTATAATTATTATTATTATAATAATAATTCTGGTACAATAAGATAAATAATAATTATAATAATAATAGCATATTTAAAACACCATCCATTAAGGGGGAATTGCAGGGAGAAATGGTAGTTACTGACCAGGGGCCACGTCCCACTATCAGCGTTGAGCTACCTCAACGTCTGAATGTGGACGTTTTTGCGGAGATGTGCAGAAATGGTGTTGAGTTTCCTGAACTGCACGTCTCCACAAACACGTCCAGATTCAGTCGTTGAGGTAGCTCAACGCTGCTAGTGAGACTTGGCCCCAGATACGCTGTCTTTCCAATAAATAATTCAGGTTGATGAATACTGCTTACCTACGGTCTTTCACCACCCGAATAGAACGCCCGGCCACTGTAGCTGTATTTGCGGCAACTTTCAGTCCAGATGCAACGATCATGACCGGGCGTTTTATTCGGGTGAGGACAGTAGGCAACCAGCCGGGCCGCTCAGGCGGGCTCAGGCGACCTTGTTTGCCCGGGCTGCCCGGCCGTGCAAGGACCATAGAAGGTCCCAGGAAAAAAAAGAAAAAAATTCTGAAAAAATGTTATGCAGAAAAATAAACTGAACAACTTCCGCGTCAGATCAATCTGAAAAAATGTTATGCAGAAAAATAAACTGAACAACTTCTGCGTCAGGGTCACATCGAAATTCTTTACTAAATTTGTTTGTTTTTTGTTTTGTTTTGTTTTGTTTTTTGGCTCGGCCGGGCAAGTGGTCCCGGGCCACTCTGGTAGCCCAGCCGCTAACTCCCCCCCYCCCCCCCCCAAAAAAAAAAACCCTGCTAACTCTTTTGCAAGGGCTCTTGACTGTACACAGAGAGAGAGAGAGAGAGAGAGAGCCTCTTCTTGAAAACGTCTCAGATCTTGAAAAGAAAAGTGGTTGCCACAATCAGAATGTGCTTCAGGGAATACTCAAAGGGACTTTTGTTTTCCACAAAGCTAGCTCTGGACGTGATTGCGGTCAGATTCATACAGTTAAATATGAGAATCAGATCCGAGATTCACACGAACAGATCCCAAGAAATTACCGAGGTAGATACCAAGGCAAGAAATTACCGAGGTAGATACCAAGGCAAGAAATTCCCGAGGTAGATATCAAGGCACGAAATTACCGAGGTAGATATCAAGGCAAGATCGAAATTACCGAGGTAGGTATCAAGGCAAGAAATTACAAAAACAGATCCCAAGAAATTACCGAGAACTTACCAAACGATACCAGGAAATTACCGAGGTAGATATCAAGGCAAGAAATTACAAAAACAGATCCCAAGAAATTACCGAGAAATTACCAAACGATACCAGGAAATTCCCGAGGTAGATATCAAGGCATGAAATTACACAAATAGATCCCAAGAAATTACCGAACGATACCAGGAAATTGCCCAATTCGAGTTCCAGTGGAATCAGATAAGAAATAACCTGGGGCCGGTCATTTTGAAGATAAATCGAAGATGCTATCGAAGATGCTATCGAAGATGCTATCGAAGATGCTATCGAAGAGATAAAAATACAATATCTATATAAGAACTTCAAATAGACGAATATATTTTTGCAAAAATATATTCGTCTATTTGAAGTTCTTATATCAATCAACAATGTATCGAAGATGATACCGAAAAGCAAGAAATTTCCGAGATAATCGACTGGCCTATGCCTCGGTTGATACACACGAAATGTTGAAACACAGACCTGAGTTCGAGTTCCAGCTAAATCGAGACTATGCCTCGGATGAACGAAATGTTGACTATGCTAAATCGAGATAAATAGGCTGATACACGAAATGTTGACTATGCTAAATCGAGATAAATCGACTGGCATATGCCTCGGATGAACCCTCTCGAGTTGAATCAGATAAGAAATAACCTGGGGTCGGTCACTTTGAAGATGATATCTCAAGGATTCCGCCCATTCAGGAAAAAAAAAAAAAAAAAAAAAAAGAGGAAAGATATCGTCGACATCTATCGAGACAAAAAAAATCGGAAAAATACTTAATGGAAAAACGAAAGCCAGCGAGAGAGACAGATACACAAATAGCAGGCAGGAAAACTGAGAGATGCAGAAAGCGAAACACAAGAGAGAGAGAGAGAGAGAAAAGAGAGAGAGAGGGAGAGAGAGAGAGAGAGAGAGAGAGAGAGAGAGAGGCATGTGTTTCTTACATTTCTGATCTCGTGTCAACAGGACTCAAGTCCACTTACAAAAATCGACTCTAATAGTATAAGTAAACATTCAGTGGTGTTTTTTATTGTTTCTGTTTCAAACAAACAGAAGGAAAAGAGATCGATTCCAGCTAAGGACCCATAGGTGCTGTGCTGCTGACGGCCAAAAATGACGCAGATTTAACTAGAGGGGGTTGCTAGCAGGTTTAGTTGGGGGGGGGTAGCTTGCAGAGTTAATTTGGGGGTTCGCTTGCACAGTTAATTTGGGGCATTGCTTGCAGAAGTAATTTGGGGGGTTGCTTGCAGAATTAATTTGGGGGGTTGCTTGCAGAATTATTGCTTGCAGAATTAATTTGGGGGGTTGCTTGCAGGATTATTTTGGGAGGTTCCTTGCAGAAGTAAAATCATTGTGCATGCCTTACATGGGCTCATTAAAAAAAAAAAAAAAAAAAAAAAACATTGTGCATAGATCTCATTTTGAATTGAATGGCATGCATGATGTGTACCAATTAGCCACCCGTTCGGTGTTATGGGGGTGGGGTTTCAACCTTCCAAATTTCTTTTTATTTTTATTTTTTTTTAAGAA